TAATTGTTAATAATGATTATTGGCTATAAATTCTGGAAAACATTTACAAACATTGGATGTAAAATACATTAAGGTGCTTTTTTGGGGGGGATGTATAAGTACATACAAATATGCATAAAATATGAAAAAATCATTTTATTGTTTTGAATTTATCACTTTGCCTTGTTCTTCTGTACTCCATTTCAGGCTCTGATTCTCCCTCGGTGGACACAACTGTAAACTAATTATGTTAAATTTTTATATCTGTTTTTTTTCTTGTGTGTTCCCCACATAGCTCTGAGAACATTCCCCTTCTCCTATCTTGTGGTTCAGACATAGAACTAAGAATCAGGAAATCGTGATTCTGTATTTAACATTATCATAGATATGTGTGCTACGTTCGTCAGGTCCTTTTTTTTGTGCATCATTTTCACCAGCTGTCAATGGGGACTTAGACCTCAGTGGTGACTGGTGAGGTCTGATTTGACATTTGTAAAGTATTCTTTACCTCAGATGGAAGGTGCTGTAATAGTGCCAGAGTATCATTGCATAATCTTTTCGGGTCCCTGTGATTTTAAACTCCTACCTTCTAAGACAGTGTTTCTTAAACTGGGGTCAATGAGGGGATTCTGGGAGTCTGTGGGGGGACCACTTATCAGCTCCTTCCCCTTCCTCCCAATGCCTCCTGGGACCCAAGGTCCAGGGCTGTGGCAGGCTCTCTACTCTCCTGGTTCTGTGTGGCTTCTGGAAGCAGCCACCAGGTGCCTATGGCAGCCCCTATGCGCAGGGCTGACAAGGAAGGCTGAACTCATTGTCCCCACCCAAGTTCTATCTCTGCAGATTTCATTGGCCTGAAACTGACCAGCAGGATCTGCAGGGTGGTGCCTGCTGGCACGAAGGCTGCATACAAAGTAAAGATGGTAGCTTTTGGTTAATTGAATAGTCAACTAACTGCATGAATTCTTAGCGGTTAGTCAACTGTTCTATAGTCCCTGGGGACGGCAACCAGTGCAATCCGGCCCCATTCCTGGGGAGCCCCCTGTCACCCTGCGCTGCTGCCTCTAAGGGTGCCAGGCGGGAGCTGGTCCATGAGGGGAACTGGTTTAAAAAACTGCTGCCTGCCACCCTGCACTGCTGCTTCTGATACAGAGGAAGCAGCACATGTTAACAGCAGTCCCTGTCCACGGGAGGTCTGAGCTCTCTGCGGACAGAGACAGGTGGGGGAGGCTGCCGTGAAGCATTCTCTGTCCACGGCCAGCACCGGCACCATCACAGACAGTCTGTGGGGGGATCCCCAGCTCCCCATAGACGAGGCTGCTTCCTGGTAGCTCCTCACACTTCACCCTCTTGTCCTAGCCCGGAGTCCCTTACTGCACTCCAAATCCTTCCTCCTTTCCTTCACCACAGAGCCCTCACTCTTCCCCCTCTCCTCCTTGCACTCTAAAACCTCAGCCAAGAGTTCCCTTCCACACTCAAACTCCCTTCTGGACCCCATCTGCACCGCAATCTACTACCCCAGTCCAGAGTCCCCTGCGATACCTCAAACCTCTCATCCCCAGCTCTTTCCCACAGCCTGCACCCCCAGGTGCAGTCCTCTCCTCCCTCACCACAACACCCTGTCCCAGCCATGTGAGAGTGAGCTAGGGTGGGAAGAGTGCAAGTGAAAGAGGGAAGGAGGGTAGAGCAAGCTGGATACTGGGCTTCAGGGAAGGGCAGGGGCGATATCTCAGTGAAGAGGGTCCCCTAAAATTTTAAATCAAAATGGGGATCATCAGGTTGCTAAAGTTTGAGAACTGCGGTTCTAGAAGAAAGTTCCGTAAAGCTCAGACATGCCACTTGTTGAGTGAAGTAATTAATTTGCTCCAAAGGCTGACACAGGTGCAGCTACAGCGATAAGGCTCAGGACTAGAAGAAATGAAGCATTATGAAGTTAGGCCAGTGAGATGCCTTGGAAATGTGAAATTGAAACGTGCTTGCTTATCATACCATACCTTGTAGACAGTGGTTTAATTTTATGGTTACTCATGTTTGTGGTTCTGCTGGGGCTCTCAATGTTTGCTTGTGTACCTAAATAGTAGTTTTGAGGTCAATTGAAATTAAACAAAATGCCTTTAAAAGTATCTGAAAACTAATTTTCTGGAGATGTTCGCTATCTAAACATTGTTTCCAAAACCAACATTGTGGCCACAAGAGGATGCTAAAGATCCAAATGACTGGTTGTTTCTTCAGTTTACTTTTGACTGTAAGAGACACAAATAAAAATGGGAAGGGAAATTTATGCTTAAAGAGGAAAACAGTAAGGAATGAAATTAACATTTTGCACAAGTTACAAACTTCAGTAGTGATTTAGAAAGGAACTTTCTAGAGTAGTGGTAGTTTAGCTTTTATAACAACTGAAATTGTTTAGAAAATATCAGGAAGTATTTTTCCTGTTTTATTACTTTGGAACTTTTGGTGTTTTAATCTGATGTAGAAGAGAGAAGATATGTTATTAGAATGGTAATTTTTTTTTACAAATGTTTGTTTTGCAATACATAAAATTAATAGAACATTGTACCAGAAATTTCAAGGTACAACTTTAACAAATATGCTTACATTAAATATTTCTTCTATTAGTTATCTGTTTTGAAATGTTTAAACATTTCTAAACCATGCAGCATCAGAATGTGATATACTTATACTTTCCTTTATTCCCAATAAAAGATTTTTATGATAGTGTCTTAACCTAAAAGATGATCTTTCTGTCTAAACTATCGTGTACATTTTCAGGGACCTTTATGTTCCCTGATATCTCTTATGATCATTGTTCATTAGTTAGTTGAAAGGTCAAGAGATTCCATTATGTTTTATTATGATATGAGCTGATTTGGTTGTGAAAGTACTAAATTAAAAACAAAAAGAATAATATTATCAATGAGACACAGGATTTGGAGTAAAAGGGCCTGGATTTTATTTGTGGTTCTGCCACTTTTCGGGCAAGTCACTTCACTTCTTTGTGCTTCCATTTCTCCTCCCACCCTTTGTCTCTCTTATCTATTTACATACATCTCTGTGAACACTGAATAGTCCTGTAGCACCTTGGAAACTTAACAAAAATATTTATCTAGTATCATGGGCTTTCATGGACAAACCCACTTCTTCAGATGAGATGATCTTTAGTCAAAATCCCTCAAGATCATCTCATCTGAAGAAGTGGGTTTTGCCCACAAAAGCTTAAGCTTTTATATATATGTTAGTTTCTAAGGTGCCACAGGATTACTTTTTTAAAGTTTCAGACTAACAGGCTGCTCCCACTAAGACTGCTATGAACATGTTAGATCTGATCTACAATAAAAGGTGAGATCAACCCAGCTGGGTCACTCAGGGATGTGAAAAATCCACGCTTCACAGTGATATTATTCTTGGTATATACAGTGTTTGCTTGATGGAAAAAATTCATTCTCTGCCTCTTGAGAAGACAGATTGCCTATGCTAATGGGAGAATCCCTTTCATTGTCATAGGGCATCTACATTGGACTGCTCCAGTGTTGTAACTGTAGCCTTTCAAGCATAACAACCCTCAGTCTCTTATTGTGTTTACACAGAGCTTAGCACAACGTGGCCCTAGTCTCATTTGGGGACCCAGATGTTAGTTTAATAAAAGCAATAATAAAGAATAATCTACTCTTGTTATCAAGGTACAGTGTCCATTTGCTTAAATTTCACCTTTCACCTGTTTTGCAAATTTGTGTTGGGGTACTATGCAGATTCTAAAAATCTCAGATGAGATTTTGAAAAAAGCACCATATCTAATGGTTCCTCATTAGGTACTGAAGTGCCTATATTTACAAAAGTGCTCATCCCCAGTTTTTCTCACTTTCACAAATCTGATCACCTTTTTTTGGGAACTGCAATTTTGGGAAGGTGACACCAATAATGGACATTTAACATTTTTTAAGATCTTGGCCCCATTTTTAAAATATAGAGGACCACGTATGCACAATTGCTATTTACGTAAGTCAGTGTTATGTGCTTCTTTTTGTGCTCTGAAACACCCAGGAACTAAACTGCATTATGTTAACATGAATTGGTGCTGGTGCACAAAGATATTTTGGGCACAACATTGTGTAAGTTGAAATTTATAAAGTAACTGAAGTAACTGTCGATTTCAGTTCTTTTCAAACCAACAGAGAAGTTTGTAAATACTCAGTAAAATTGGTTGTAGGGGAGCACAACAAATGGAAATATTTATTTATATATTTATTTATTTAAAAAAAAAAAAAAAAACCTGTATAGAAAGATGTAAATAATCACACCAAAGTCTTGTCATGATTTTGTAAAAGTAGTAGAAAAGCCTTATTAAAGCTTTGACATTAACTTTCACACCACCCTAAACTGAAGTTTCACTGAAAAGGACATATCTGATAGTATACATTTATTCTGAGGAGTTTTTGGGGCTGCATCTTTGAAGTTGGTTGTGAACACACCCTTGAATTAATATAACTTATGATAAATTAATCAGAGGTGGCTCACCTAAGAGATAAGGGGGTTGTGAAACTACTCAGGAATTTGTGCTAAGTGGATGGCGGGCTCTTTTTCAGTATTGTTTGTGTATGAGAGAGTGAGGGAGAGAGAGGAAGGCAGAGGCAAAAAAAACCTCTAAGAATGTTCACCAGCTACTGCTGAGGCTAAGTGTAATCTTTGAAAAGGCCAGCTTTTGGATCTGGTGGCTAGCGAGGCTTGGAGCTGAAAGCTAAGACTGCTTCTTTTGTTCTTGGTTCTTCCTGCCCTCAGAAAAACAGGACTTGGGCATCACTTGCAAATAAACAAGACTACATCTAAGAAAATGCCAGACTCCCTCATTTTCTGCTTCCTGTTGGAACATTCCAAGGATTCCAGACTTTGACTAGCTGTGTGAAAAAAAAAAAAAAAAAAAAAAAAGAGAAATTAACAACTATTTAGAGGGGTGATTTGCATTGTAACTAACTTGACTTGTTACCTTGTACATTTTTATACTAAACTTACTATTTTTAATTCTACAGAATTACTGGAGAATGTAAAATTAATACATAAACCAGTATCTTTGCAACCACGAGGGCTGATTAATAAAGGAAACTGGTGCTATATCAACGCTGTATCCTTATCTCCGGGAAATGAAACCTAAATTAAATTCATTATTATGGTAATTGTCAGTGTTGTCTAGAATATTAATATATTGACAGTGTTGTTCTAATTGGCTGCTTTTATTGTCTGAATTACCAGTATTGTATATCATTTTTTAAAAAGTGTGCACTTCAGCTATGACTGTTGTATGTTGCAGAAGTCCTTCCAGCTGTATATCAAAAGCAATAGTAGTGTGTTCTTTGAGGAATGTCCCTGTGGGTGTACCACTGTAGGTATTGGTGCATCCCTGTGCTTTTGATTAGAGAATTTCAGCAGCCGTGCTCATCTGTGTTGCGCATGCACTCTCTTGTCTCTTTCCATTGTCACAGTCTATTTAGCACCACGTGACCTGACTTCCTCAGTTCCTTCCCAACCATCATTAGCTTTAGAGCTTCCAACAGTGTTAAGACTGATGCTTATACTTAGGAGTTTAGAGTAGCCTTTACTCTAGTTAGCTTCTTTTATCCCTTTCTCCCCATTTATATTCTTTAAAAAAAAATCTTTTCCCCTTTACTCCAAGTTTGAATATCCCTTAGCTTAGTTAGTTCACCATTAGGTTTGAACCACGATAACTCAAGCCACGTCGAGTTCGCTGGGTATTCAAGCACTGCCTTTCCTGCCAAGAAGTGATCCCGGGTTCGGATAGTCACTCAAAAGTGCTCTCCCTGCACTAACCTGAAGCCTTGTACCAGAATAAATACTTACCCCTCAAACATATGTTAATGGAGATGTCTGCATACCTAGCATCTGATCCATGTCCACAAACTTCCCCGGCCAGTGTTACTCGGCAACTTCACCTGTGTCCTAGTAAAAGGCTCATTGCTCCAAAAAGGCAGTTAGCAAAAGAGCTTTGATTTCTCTCAAGGGGCTGTCAAAAAAGAAGTGTTCCTCAGCTTGCTCCTCATCTTTGGTACCAACCAAACCATGGCTGAGTACTCATGAGGCACCAGGATCATCCACTACCACATGTACTGTGAAAGCCAGTTACACTAAGTGGGCAGGTTCAGAGTTGAGCAAATGGAAACCTACCTCCTTCACTAGGGCGGAAGGTTCAGAGATGAGCAAATGGAAACCTACCTCCTTCACTAGGGCACGAATAATGCCACTTTAAGATGCAACACCGATATACTCTGTGTAAGTTATAGCACCACCTCCGGTGCAAGGCACTTGAAGGCCATCACCATTGGCATCGACCACCTCATTACCAACACCATTGATAGAGAACCTCTACCTACATTAGGCATATCTGTATGTCTCATCAACACCTGAATCACCTCTTTTGCATAGCTGTATGTCTCATCAACACCTGAATCACCTCTTTTTAGCACTAATGTTTCCCTAGCATACATTGCACTGCATCAGATGACTTCTCTGGCCTCTCCATTCTGTAGTGAGGAAGAAGATAGGAGAATAGTTCCTTCTCATCTCAGCACTCCTCCCCCATTCAGTCTGCTGCAGCCTTGCATTCACATGTACAGTCTAGAATCCATCCCAGGGCTGACACCCGGACCTGGTATTTCCCCCGAATGCTACCACTTATGCCATTCCCCCATTCAGTAGTCTTACTGGGAATTCTAGTTCACATGCAAAAGATGGTTGCCCAGACTCCTGAGTCCATACTGGGAGGGATTGAAGAATAGGAGGAAACCTGGGAACAGGATACAGTGCCAACATCTAAAATTTCTTCCTCTTCCCTGGACAAGGATATAGTGTCCCTGCCATCTCTTGCCTGATTTAGAAGGTTAATCATTAATTTGGATAGTATTGGTTTTACTATATTGGTGAACAATTTTAAACACTTCCTAGAACTCTTAAAAGAATCATTGATAACCCCAAAGATTCCTCTAGAGAAGGTCCCAGATTCTCAGCACAAAATTACTGGGCCATCTCCATACATCCTCCTCACCTAACATTGTGCTTTCCCTAAATGACACACTTATGTAGCCAGCCAAAAACATGGCAGATCCCCGTTATGATACAACCCATCTGTAAAGTGACCAGATGAGAAATACTATTTCCCTCCAAAGGACTACTTGTTTTCTCACCCTACACTGAATTCAATAGTGGTTGATGCTGTCAACCAATGAGTCAGACAAAAACAGCCTGGATTTACAAAACAATATGCGATAGATCAGAGCTCAAGATTGGTTGTATTGGTAGCACTTAAATGATCAATTATTCACTCATTTTCAAAGCCCCTTCTGTCCGCCATGGGACACTGTTCAGTAATCACCTGAAATTGGAGCATCCTAGGGATGCTTCTTGAAGAAGGGAAAGTTACTCACCATGTGTGGTAACAGAGATGATTGGTCCCTGTGGGTGTTCCACTACCTTCCCTTCTCTACTTTAGAGTTCAGTCTACGACCTGGGAAAGATAAGGAACTGAGTTTGGTTTCATAGTACTGGATAGGCTTCAGCAACAGTGTCAGACTGTCTCCAATCAAAGGAATAGGAATGTACCAACATCTGAACTGGAACACCCACAAGGACATCATCTTGAAGAATCTCAGTTACTGTACAGGGTGAAAAATCATCTCTATTCAGGTGAACTTTAAAAAAGAGAGAAATATAAGAGGTGGTTCTAGTCTTCCATATCCATATTCTCTTAGATGTGTCTGCTTCATTCCATTCTAAAAGAGTGGTGTATATGCCAAATCAATGAGAAACTATCTGTCCTAAGGCGTGATTAAATAGATATGTTCAGATGTGAATATTTGGTTTTATTATTGACATGGGATTTTTTGTTAATTTTTTGGAGTATTTTGAGAGTGAGAGCCACATTCATACTGTGTGAGAGTAGCCTGATTAACAATACACAACTGCCATTTTTGTCTTGTGGCTCCTCTCTCCAACAGTTTTTCAGATAAGATCTTTTAGACCAGTGGCCCTCAACGCGGTGCCTGCGGGCACCATGCCGGTGCCAACCCTGGGCGCGAAGTGTATGGGCAACCCCTGCCCTGGGTACGTGGCACATTCCGGTGCATGAGCGGCCCCGCCCCCAGGCTCCTGGCAGCCCCAAAAGGTTGGGGACCACTGTTTTAGACTAACATTTGGAGTTTTATGTTGTTGGGATGAATCGGAGGGAAGTTTTACAGAAGTTCTCTCCTTTTTTAAAACCATCTAGCACATTTATCTTAATTTGAAATGTTAAAATATATAACTAGTATAACACTTTCTCATACTGTATTGTAGGTTCATTTTCAAGTGACTCTTGTGAATTGGAAACAGGAGTGTTATTAATAATATGAGAAAAATCCTTTCATCAATTTCATTGTGATTATTGGATTGGTCTTTTTTATGCACATAGAGGATTTTAGTATTTGTTCTGCATAAAGTTTGTCATTGGATATTTAACGTATATCTAGACTATATTTTCTGAATAGCTCCTTAATACCATGGATAGACACTGCAGGCTTTGGTTGCTTGTCCTCCGATGTATCACCTAATGAAGTCAATTCCAGTGTATTCAAAATCACAGCGACCATGCACCTCAACACCAATGATAGACAGTTTGTAAGTAATTTGTTGGAAAAATCTTAGTATTTGGGTGTCAGAATTTTAAGTAGGTGAACAGAGAAGTCTAACAAACCATTATAGTATTTCAGTTGATGAAAATGGATTTATAATTACATTCAGTAGTTCATGGTTTGTTTAATGCCACTTCACTTTTGTAGTTGGCTTTTATTTTTAATTATGGTAGTGAAGGGAGCAGAGTATTTCTTTAATCTTTGTTCAGGAAGATCAATTTAGATACACCAAAATTAGTGAAGCTGCAATAGTAAATTGCAATAAAGCTTCAAGACTTGACTTAAATCTAATACTCATTTTATTAGCATATTCCTAACTTGATTTTGGCCTTCCAGGACCTATTTTCATCTAATATTTTGTGTGATTTACATGGTAATCTACCCTGTATGGATAAATTATATTTTGTTAACATAGTGATGATGCGCAATTGTTCTTTCCTTTCTATTTCAGTGTTCGTCTAATGAACGAGTTCACTAATATGCCAGTGCCACCTAAAGCAAAACAAGGTGATTTGGGGAATGAGATTCTTCAAAATAGATAGTTAAACATTAAATGGTATAAGCTCATTTTCTCATGTTTTAGTCAACTTTATTTGGTAAAGTGCAAGACACATCTTTTAAAATACTGATTTAGTGTTTGTTTTTTTTCTGGGCCACGTATGTCTGAAGTAGACAAATGATTCCCAAAGAAATTTGCAGACGAAAAGGCCACATCATAGAGATTCAGAGCTTCATTTAAGAAAATCTTAGTGGGTCAAAAACTATTTAAAAATTCATTCTGGGACCATGACTATATGTATAAATATGATATGATGGGACTAAATGAGCTGTTACCACTCAAGAGAGATCTTGGAGTCATTCTGGACAGTTCTCTGAAAACATCCACTCAGTGCACATCAGCAATAGAAAAAGCAAACAATGTTACGCATCATTAAGAAAGAATAGGGAATAAGACAGAAAATATTGTAGTGCCTTTTAGGGAAGTTAAGTAATAGTTAATTAGCTAATCGAGCAGTCAATGGAATTTCCATCGATTAGTCAATAAGGGTGGAGACTGCAGAGCCACAGTAGGGTTTGCTCCTGGCCCTGGGAGTAAACCCTGGAGCAGTTCTGATTTTTAAATGAACTGGTGGCTCTTAATGCAGTTGAAAAGCAGAAGCACGGGGGGGAGGGGTACTTGCGCGGGAGCTGGGAATCAGCTGTCCTGGCTCATGCCCAGTCCCTCCTGCTGTGCTTCAGCCTTTTAAATGGTTATCACTGGCTTCTGCTTCCCCTCCAGCCTTGCTGCCTCTTGATACAGAGGCAATGGGGGGAGGGGGGAGAAGAGTAGGTCATACTCTTGACTAGTCACTTACATACCTAATGTTTTTATATAAATCCATGGTATGCCCATATTTTGAATATTGTGTGCAGATGTGGTCACCTCATCTCAAAAAAGATATCTTAACACTGGAAAAGGTTCAGTAAAGGATAACAAAAATAATTGAGTATGGAACAACTGCCATATGTGGAGAGATTAATAATAAAAAAAAATCTTGAAAAAGAGATGACTAAATGTGGATATGATTTTATAGACCTCTATCATGATTGGTGTGGAGAAAGTGAATAAAGAAGAGTTATTTACTCCTTCCCATAGCACAAGAACTAGTGATCACCAGATGAAATTAATAGGTAGCAGGTTTAAAACAAAAATAAGTACTTCACACAACTCACAGCAACTCCTTGCCAGAGGACGTTGTGAATGCCAAGACTGTAAGGGCACGTCTACACAGCAGGGCTAAAGCTAAAATAAGCTATGCAACTTGAGCTATGTCAGTTGCGTAACTGAAATTGGAATAGCTTGTTTCTGCTTTTGGCACTGTCTACACAGCAAGAAGTCCAAAGGGAAGTTAAGTAATAGTTAATTAGCTAATCGAGCAGTCAATGGAATTTCCATCAACTACATGATTAGTCGATTAGAGGTTAGCTCCTGGGGGTGGTAGGAGCTGAGACTGAGCAGCGCCAGCTCGCACTGGCTCCAGGTTAACAGGGTTCAGAGAAGAGCTAGATGAATTGGAGGATAAGTCACTTGATAATTACCTGTTCTGTTCATTCCCTCTCACTTGGTAATTGCCTGTTCTGTTCATTCCCTCTGTGGCACCTGGCATTGGCCACTATCAGAAGACAGGATACTGAGCTAAATGGACATTTGGTCCATCCCTGTATGGCCGTTCTTATATTCAAGGGCCACATAAGATGTATGAAGCTGGTATAAGAGGTGTAAAACAGGCAAATGCTGCATGTGATTCAGTTCTTAACACTGCTAGATACAGTACACTAACTGGATGGAATAGAAAGTGATTGCAGGTGATACTTTGTAGTACTGATAGTAGCTAATGCAATGCTATACTAACACGTCTGTTTTAGATTTAAAAAAATCCCATTTTTTTAGAGGATGGGATGGGATTATTTTTGTTCATGTAGGTTTTGTGAAGTAAAATTAATTCATTTGTGCTAGTGGTGAAGATTCTTATAAAAGGGGGAAATACACATTTTTGAAACATTTTGGATATTGAACTTGTCAGTCATTGATACACTTTTTAATGTCTCTGGAAAACTTAAATCTTAATACAGACAGAATCAAAGATTTTATAACTTGTCATTTGAGCATGGTTTATTTCAGCTGCTTGAACATGTAACTGTTTGGTGAAGCAGTGTGTTTATCAAACACCAGAAGTTATTCTGACAGTCTAGCTTTTATCTTAATCTTTCCATTTTATGGTTTCTCAATATTGCTTATAATTGTTATTGTGTTACTTCTGTTTGCCTTGCAGCTTTAGGTGATAAAATGGTGAGAGACATCCGACCTGGAGCTGCCTTTGAACCAACGTACATCTATAGGCTGTTGACAGTTATCAAGTCAAGCCTGTCAGAAAAGGTGCCGTTTAAAAATCTTCAGACTGCTTGTATCTAACAGTGTACATAAAGTAAATTGTATTTCAAAGCAGGCAGTATTCTTAAAATTACTTTTCTTAATAAAATCAGTCCTGCACTCAAGCCCAAAAATATATTTCACAGTTAAAGTTAATTTTTTTTCTCCTAGACTCTGTGTTCTGTATTAACTGATAGTACTGTCTTATACAAAATGTCTGTTTCACTAATGCATCTAAAAAAAATTAAGGTGGCAATGTCCTGAATCTGCTTAAAGTTGTAGACACCGTACAATAGTGTAATATATTTAAAAATACTATTCTTGTGTTCAGGGCAGACAAGAAGATGCTGAAGAATACCTGGGATTTATCCTGAATGGACTACATGAGGAAATGCTGACCCTAAAGAAACTTCTTTGCCCACACAATGAAAGTAAGCTCATCTGTAGCCAGCTGACTTCATTTTCAAATACTTGCCTGTAAATTTTCTTTTTTTTTTTTGTGGAAGGGTGAAAGGAGGAAGGATGCTCTACAGGTCTTGTCATTATGTTTTATTGGATTTTTTGGAAGGGTGAAAGGAGGAAGGATGCACTACAGGTCTTGTCATTATGTTTTATTGGGTTTTTTTAAGGTTTGGTATGCAGTCATTTTAATACATTAAGTACATAATTGGCACCCATAAAAATATTTGTTCAATCTTGTGTGCACTGTAACACATCCAGTTATCAAAGGTGTTTTGGATAAGCAAATGTTTTAATTATTCCAGAAAAATCCTTAACTTTCTAAAGTACAATCCCAAAGGTTAATTATCTAATACTACATTGAACTTACTTGTTTCTTCATGTGTAGTTTGTATGCGATCATGTAAATAAATTGCATTCTGTTAAACACTTGAGTATTCATGGTTGCAAAATTGCACAAAGAATGGTATAAAATAAGAAAGCCTCCTAATCTTCTGATAATTATTCCTATAAAGCGGATAAGAAACTTGAAATCACATCACACAAGTATCTGAATCAGAATTTTTAAAACATTACCTTTCTCTTTACAGCTCCAGATATGTCAGAGACCTATTATTAATCCTGTTGTTGACCAGCTCTGTCTCCATTATAAAGAAAACTTGGGGATTATTTTATTTGTGTTAATCTATATCTAACCTCTCTTCTCCTCTTTAAGAAATCTCTGTTTCCAATGGTCCTGAGACACAATCTGTAAACGAAGAGGAGGATCAGGATGAACAAGGAGAAGGGAGTGAGGACGAATGGGAACAAGTAGGGCCCCGCAACAAATCATCAGTTACGCGACAGGCTGACTTTGTTCAGACGCCTATTACTGATATTTTTGGTGGTCACATAAGGTATGGTACATTTTATTAGACTATTTTTAATACAATACATTGTACTTGTTTTGCAGCTGTGAAAAAGCATGGACTTCATTGTCTTCACCCATACATTTTTCCATTGCTTTGCAACTGAGAAGATACACAATCACCAGAGACTGCACCAGTATTCCATGACTAGTTTTTGATAGTTTTAAAAGGAATTGTGACCAGTTGACAGAAGCCAAGAGAACTTGGTATTGTAATGATGAAACAGTCTTCCAGTAGAGAGGGTTTAAAAGATTTCATGTCATTGTGTAGGTTAGTTCCCATAAATCAGTTTGTGATCTGTGTCACATAATAGGTGCATCTTGTAATATGTTTTACAGAGCAAAGGTTGGATTGAGGAACAGATATGTACAACAATTGTTTATGGACAGTAAGTTGAAAAGTACATATTTTGTATATGTATACTTGCTTTCATACAAGGATCTAAAGGACTTAATGAAATAGTTCAGGTTTAGAGCTTTCTTGTGACATGCTAGCCTATTTTATAGGTAGAAGAATTAAAACTGTTTTGTATAGTTCAAAGCTAGTGCGTGGAGAAAAATAGGAATAGAATTCAGAAGATGAGACTGTCAGTTCTTTAGACAATGTTGCTTCCCAGAAGCAAGGGAGACTTAAGACTATGTCTATGATACAGCTTATGTTGCTTGGGAGTGTGAATAAACTGCCCCTCGAGCGAGGTAAATTACACTGACATAAACACTCGTGTGTACAGTACTATGTTGGCAGAAGAGCTTCTGCTGACTGCAGGGGAGGAAGCTGGACTTGAATAACAAAGCTAATAAGAGAGCTTTTCTCCTAGCTGTACAGTGTGTTTGCATTAGCAATAGTTCAGTGGCACAACTGTAAGCTCTCTATTGTAGCCATAGTCGTCTTCTCTGCTTTTATTAAAAAAGATGTCCATATCCAAAGAGATCTTTTTAAAATTCCATTATCAATTTCTGTAACAGCTTGAGGTGATGTGGGGCATTAGTAGAGGCCCAGATATCAGTACAGGAAGGCAAAGAGGGGATATGGAAATAACAAGTTAAAAAGCACCATTCAGATTATATATAAATAAATAAAAAGCAGAGTAAATACTTAAACATGTTCCAAAACAACAAATGTTACAATATGAAGAATTAATTTTAAATTGGAGGCTAGACATGCAGAGTAAATACTTAAACGTATTCCAAAACAACAAATGTTACAATAGGAAGAATTAATTTTAAATTGGAGGCTAGACATTTAATTGCTAGTTTTGCACTCCTTGTGTTGCCAGGGATGCAGTCTAGAAATATGAATAATTCTGGTTGGTTCCTTCCATATGCAAAACACCAAAATTATTCTTCAGAGATCTGAGTCAGACAGCTGGCAAATAAAAAGATGCTTTCCATAGAATTGGCAGACATATGTCTGTACTTACTGGAACATTCTCCCCATTCTCCCGTATCCTTTGTCAAATATCACAAAATATTTTTGTCATTGCCAGGGCAATTTAAGATTTTTGTATGATTATTTCATAAATTACTTAAAATGAAATGAAGGATATTAGTAGGAACACTGTCTCTTGTTGAAGTCCACTGAAAATAAGAAATCTGAGTGATTACTAAAAAAGAATAATTCGCATTGAGCAGCAGAACCACAAAATCCATTTCTATGTCTGTTGTCTACTTTCACCACACCCATCTCATTCAGCCTTCAAACTAGGTCACACTGTAGACCACAGAAACAGTATCCCATCTTAAGATGTTGGAATGCATCTTCCTCTAAGGCTGAGGGTGGAAATAGGGAAGATTTCAAAGCAAAATTGCCAGTAGCAGTCGACCAAATAAAAGCATCAGAAATAGAAAAATCAAATGGAAAAGACAGCTAGTAAAACTTGGTATAATTGGCACCTTTCTGCTGAGAGACATTTTAGCCTCTCGTCTAGCTTTGTTTAATTGGTTAGTTGCATTCTTACTTAGGCATTGTTTCTATAAATATTTGTGAAGAGAAAAAGTAGATGATTGAAAACACTTAAACATAAACCTGTAGGTCCATTTTTATAGGGCTTCTGATTTTGTAAATTGATAGAATGCTTTTATATTTATAACTTGTTCAAAACTTCAAATATTTATCATACAGCTTTCAAATGTTTTTCATGCAAATTTGTCATACACATAAGCCTGGCAAAAATGTTGCCCGCAAGATACACTGATTTTGCTTTTCTTTGAAGAAATTTAAGCTGTTTTTTATATGTTAGCTGTACTCACTTAGTATCAGTAAATGCTGTTAGTGCTACAATAGTATCTAAGAAATTATGAATGCATATTTTCATAATGAATTTTATTGAAAGATGTCTGTATTTGGGTTCCCCTGAAAACATTGGTAAAAGGCAGAAGATTTCTAAATCCAAAGAGAAACCTCAAAATCAATTGTTCAGATCCTTTTAATAACTTGTGATTCAGAAATCCTGTATTTTGTTAAAAATACTGCATTTTCCCCATGACTAACTTATGCTGTAGTTTCTACAAAAGAAAATGCTTTGTGTATTAAATGTTCTGCAAACCTCTAAAGCAGGGGCGGGGAACCTAAGCCTCTGGTTTGCCTGGATTTGGCTCCCAAGGCACAGGGCTTCCTCACAGCATTGGGGAGCCCATGCTGGTGCTCCATCCAGCTGACCCAGGGCTTCATGGCTGTCCCTTTAAAATGCCGCCTCTGGCGTTTCAAAGGGGCAGCTGCTGGGGAGATCAGCTGGGGACTGCCTAGTTGATCCTGGGCTCTGCGCGACAGCAGAGCCCAGGATCAGTTGTGCTGCTGCTGCCCCGCCCCTTTCAAACGCCACCTCCACCACGTTTTAAAGGGGCAGCCCTGGACCCTGGGGTCAGCTGTGGAGTCCCCAGCTGATCCCAGGCTCTGTGTTGCACTGCCCCTTTGAAGCTCCACAGCGGCACTTCAGAGAGGCAGTACAGCATTAAAGCCTGCGATTAACACGTTAAAAAAAATTAATATGTTAATCCTGGACTGTATTAATCGCAGGCTCTAGCGCATGTCAATTGACAGCCCTAGTTTTTTTCCTTCTCACTTGTGTGCTGCCCCAAATTGGGTTTTTTTTTGTGGATCAGTGGCCCCTGACTCAAAGTTCCCCACACTGCTCTAAAGCCCAGTTATATTGTTGCTATCAAATGTAGTACTTCTATGCACTTTTGCAAAAATGCTATGCTTTTTAATTCTAACTTTGTTTTTGAAAAAACAAACACATTTACCACTGGAAATTACATTTTGGATGATTATCTGTATTTTTAGATTATTCTCCTCATCTTCTGTTGATTTTAACTCATGGGAATTTGTATACTGTACAGGCAGTCCCCGGGTTACGTACAAGATAGGGACTGTAGGTTTGTTCTTAAGTTGAATCTGTATGTAAGTTGGAACTGGCGTCCAGATTCAGCCGCTGCTGAAACTGATCAGTTTCAACAGCGGCTTTCTATATTGCTGGCCTAATTGAGTTTGAAAAAACAGTTGGTTATGGGACCCTTTTTATGAGTGTACTACAGGGAAGATGGCAATCCATAGGTGTATGTTTGATATTTACTTTATTTAAATAATTATCATGATCATGATAGAAACACTTTTTGCCAACTTTGCGTAAGCTTGGCAATCCAAATCTACTATTCAAGTAACATATTTCTCAGAATGATTTTCTCCTCCCCACCCTCTTCATGGCAGTGCTGTTATTTGTATTTCATGGTGTATTTGCTAGAGGGAGAGAGTGTTGTTTTTAGATATTAGTTTGAAATATAAAATGGAGTCTCTTGACAATTCTAAGACTGTGCATGTCTAAATTTTTTTTGTGCTGTGTGATGCTTTAGAATGTAGTGTTCTTTATTTGAAAAATAAAAGTGGAGCGTCCCCCCTCAAACACTTTGTCATCAGGGCTTCAAAGAGAAACCATTAACAGAGGTGAAAATATTTGTCCTTCATTATACTATCAGGTAATCAACATTTGCAGTATTAGGACTGAATGCTGCTGTCCTTATTTAAGCAAAACTCACATGGACTTCATTTGGTGTTTTTCCTGAGTAAGGGCTAGAGGATTTGGTATAATTGGGTAAGGGGGTTATATTTTACTCAATGAAACATCTACCTGAAATGGCTTTTCCAAATTGCTGGAGAAATAAGGATGCAAGTATCACTTTGGCAGAAAATCTTAAACTATACCTCACGGGTGGGCAATAATTTTTATTGGGGGGCCATGCCAAGAATTTAGAAAGTGGTCAAGGGCCACACACATCCATAATATTAATGGAGGAGGTATCGGATCTGGGATTGAGTTTGGGTGCCTAATGGAGCTTGTGGTAAGGGATTGGGGTGCACTTTGTTCACTGTATTTTGCTGTAGATTATTACATTAAATAATCTGGTTAGAGGAGGAACAGGAAGGTGTGTGTCAAAGAGCACAACTCTCATAGCGGAGAATCTGTTTTTGCTAACCTGAAATAAAGATGCCAGTGTCATTGGTAGAGTCATTTCATTGTAAGGAATATACAATCAGGATAAAGATGGATTGTCTTTTGTTGGTTTCAGGGCTATGCATGAATCAGAGGATCTGTTTTAATACAAGTTTGCAGTGCAAGTATTAAACTTCTGTGTTAAATATTAACAGAAGATTCTGAGAGTTTAACATAGTGACTTGAATTATAGTTATTTTAAGACTTGCTTTTAGAAGGACTGTAACATGCCAAAGAATAATTTATTTACTTGCAAATACATTATTGGTAGTGCTTTTAAGTGTCTTCTTCAAAACAAAGAGTTGTTAGATATATTTTCAAAAATGATTCAAGCAGGCTGAACATCAATTAAAAATCACCTTTTTTTACAATGCCTTTCGCTCATAAGTAAACTACAATCAAATCATATATTCCAGTTTTCATGTAAAGACTGAAATTGATTTAACTTTCCAAATATAAATAGGAAACAAATTCTATTACTCCTCTTTGTATTCAAGACAAACCAGTAAGTG